TGGCTTACGGAGCAGAAGCCGTGTTGCCCTCCGACCTCGACCACAGCGCACCAAGGGTAAAAGCTTTCAACCATGACCGAGCCACGGAAGCTCAACAAGACACAATCGACCTGCTCGAAGAGGCCCGCGAGACAACCGTCGTCCGCTCCGCTCGCTACCAACAAACCCTCCGTAGGTACCACGAAAGGAAGATCAGAGGAAGGATACTCGAAGTCGGTGATCTCGTGCTCCGAAGGACCCAATCGACAAAGGAAAAACACAAGCTCTCTCCGCCCTAGGAAGGACCCTACACGGTAACCGAAGTAATCTGACTGGGCACCTACCGACTGGAGGACAACAACGGCAATGCTCTCAACAACACTTGGAACTTTGAACAACTACATCGTTTCTTCCCTTAGATTTGGTCTAAACACTTTCGCTTAAAACACATGCTCCTGTAAGAGCGCCCCCGCCCGAACACTTTCGACCCGGGTCGCTCGGGGGCTCCATAAGTATACAAATATTGAGTATCACCTCTCTTTCTCTTTACTATCACATGGTATACAACTTTTTCTCCCCGAACAGGAACACATTTCATTTCTTTGATTTCCATACGTAACCTTGTTCTTACTCCCAAACCGAACGCACCCCGTCTTTCCCTACGGATACGAACAACCGAGCCTCGCGGGCCATGCCCCGGGCTCCCAAAATCGCACCCTACGGGACAAACAGGCAGGTACGAGAAAGAAGGGTAAAAACAAAGGTCACGTCAGGACAAAAACAAGGAAACAGATATGGCGTTTTCATCACAGAGGCTGTACGGGTGTATTCATTGATACAAAGCAACCATTTACACGGGGACTTACCCACAAAACTTAACTATTACATTTTCTATTACAAACACTACTGCGGCCACTCGACGACTTCGCCTGAAACGCCAGAAAACCGCTCAGTCCCGCCCCTTCAAAACTTCAGAAAAACGCAATGGGTACCTCAAGGGCGTCACGCCTATGGATGCTCAGCAGAAGAACATAGAGCTCATGGCCTTCTCATGCAGCCGAGATAGCTCCTGGTTAGGGGCGCCGCTCCCGAGGTATGGTCGCCATGGCCAAAAGAAATCTCATCAAACTTTATGAACTGGCCGACTTGAGCAGTTGTAGGCACGAAACTCTCCACCGGCGCAATCATGAGTAACCTCCCCTCCGACAAGGCTCGTCCGGTAAAGATCCACCGGAGAGAATCTACACATGGCTCCATCCCGAAGAAGGCCTCACAGACCAGCATCACCTCTAGTTCGACATCACGCTCTGGGTTCACAGAAGGATCTGTAAGTCCTCCCCCTCGCTCACTCTCTCTCTCTCTCTCACTTAGGAACCATCGCGGCATTTAGGCACCCTCAGTGAGAAGGAAGAAAGAAGAGGGACAATAGTTGGAGAACAGGCAAAGGACCGCAACGGAGAACCCTCTCCCTCCCCCTATTTAAAGGAAAAAGGTAAGCGAGCATGAAACTCTCCACCTACCCCCATACGAATGGGAAACGATGGGACGTGCACTGACCGACGGAGTAACGCCGGGTCATACAAAACGCCACCGGGCAGGGCGAAGCGTGGCTGGGGTATGCCCCACAACTATCGCACGACAGGGCACGAAAACCGAAGCGCCACCACACGCGGGTGGCTTCCCGCCTCCCCTAGGCCAGGCGAAACCTAAAAACAAAATCTCCATTGGAAGACCGACCGACCCCCTGAGTCGATTGAGACACTCAGTATCCACACCAGGACACAAGTAGGAAGCTAAGGGACGCCCCATATGGGCCATGCCGACTCCGTCCCGAGCGACGAGCACGGGTCCCGTCCGGACGCTCTCCGATCGAAGCTCTCCGAGCTCCGTCACTCTAGTCGCCAAGGTAAACGCGCTATCAAAACCCCCTCTGTTTTTTTAAAACATTCATACATCCATACACGCATTCATTCCATATGCCTGAACCCCCTAGACGGTTAGGGCATGAACCACCCGGGGGCTCGGGAACTAAAGCATCGCACGTGTAGTGAAATGCATCAGAACGCTTCGTGTTGCGTCACAAAGCGGGGTTGCCTCATTCGATATGGGCAACCAATAGAGCCAGGGAAGAAAACCATAGATGAGCACCATGCGGCCCTCACCCGATCCGGCAAACTGGGTCATCTCAACCTTCTCGTTCGATCCTGAACCTCTTGCTAGGCCCATAGAATCTCCATCGAAGGGGAGGCCGCTAGGCCACCTGGGTTGGTCTCTGGAACAACCTAGGCATCTGTCAGGTTGTAGGTAAAGGAGTAGTGGAATGTCACAAGAGGGCTATGCCGACCCCGTCATGAACGACGGGCCCGGATTCCACTCGATCACACCCATTAGCAAACTCACCGAGCTAGTCTTCGAGCCCGAGCGATCGGGACAGGCGACGAAACTCAGCCCCTCCGGTCGTGAGAAACCGAGGATGGGGTAACGCACAATACTCACATCGACCCCCACGAAGGCCCGATAGGGCTCGGGGGCTCAAGAAAAACGCCAAAGGACGGCGACCTCGAACTCACCAGATCCATGACTCCGACTCGCCCGATCCCGCGGCGCGCACCGACGCCAGGGTCCGTGAGCATCGCCTCGTCTGATCTTTAACCAACTAACTATGCTTCGGCTTGAGACGGCTTCACTGCGCTCCAAAAAAACCTTGGGACCATGACCCCAAATTCGCGTCGACAGGATCTTTGACATCCGGCTACGGCTCCTAGGACCGCAACTCCAAAACTCGCGTAACGGCTTCAGATGGCTTCACTGCACTCCAACAAGACCTGGGACCACGACTCCTAAACTCGCATAACGGCTTCACTCAGGGTCCACGAGCTTCGGCTCGTCCGATTCCTGAACTAACTAAACTAACTCCCACGATCCACGGCATGCACCGACGCTTGGGTCCGTTCATGGTCCTACCTTGCTCGATCCCACGGCGTGCATCGACACCTAAGATCAGTAAGCTCTAACACGACCGAGCCATCACCGTCCGTGGCACGCACCGATGCCAGCGGTTTCTCCGAACTAACCTTCTCACCCGATCAAACGTTACGCACCGACGCCGAGATCAGAAAGATTTGCCTCAAACCCTGCACCTAGAAAATGCCTGGGCTATGCAACGACACCTTGATTAAACAAAACATCTCAAAACTAAACATACACACACGCCCGCTAAGATAACACCCCCTAGCCGATTCTACCCGAACCGCCCGGGGGCTCGGGGGCTACACCCGCGGGTGCGCTCGCGCGCACCCACCGACACAACGTAGAAAACCCCCCAGTCGGTTCTGCCCAAACCGCCCGGGGGCTCGGGGGCTACACCCACGGGTGTGCTCGTGCGCACCCGGCAGCAAGACAAAAATCCCCCGGATGATTCTGCTCAAATCACCCGGGGGCTCGGGGCTTCTGTTGGGTTCATAAACTCGGGGTCCCTTGGGGACCGGCTTCGACGCCCGGGCTCAGCCCAGGAGAACAACCTATAGCTCATGGGCCGGCCCAAAAAGTCTACAAAACAATGAGCCGGGGAGACAGACCGGTCGCCGACCGGAGGGTCCACCGAAAGAACGAACGCCCGCTCGACAACTTCTTCGGCCCACCTCTCCGATCGGAGCGCTCACCTCGGGCGCCGGGCGCCTCCGGGCGGACTCTCCGATCGGAAGGCCTGGCCCAAAACGCTGCTTCCTACTTCGACCCCACTCTCCGATCGGAGGCTCGTAGGAAGCCTGCTTCCGCTCTTCTCCGACTGGCACGGCCAGTACCGACTGGAGCCATCCGACCGGGGATTCCCACTCGGAAGGGACCAGGGGCGAACGGAGAAAGCAGCGCACAAAGTCAAAACACTGTACTATGACCATACCCTGTACGCCTGCGGGAACAGTGCTCCACAACCGACCTGACACAAGCAGTATTGTAAGCGCCGACATTTATGTCTACAGTATTGTAGGCGCTGTTGGGGCTCCCATACGGCAAAAAGGCCCCCCACATGCCTCTGGGCATCGATAGTGGGCACCAGGATTCACCATGCCTGGTACACGTGGTGGGGCTCCTTATATACTAACAGCATTTCACAGGTACCGACATCCACCCTTCCTGAAGAAGCCAACGCAACCCCCCATGTGCACCTGACATTCTACAGCGACATCAACAGTGTTATGCATGCCAACCATCATCACTACCCTCATTCGGCGTGGGCAACAAGACTTAGAAACATCCATACTCTCTCTCTCTCACCTGTAAAGCCATCCCCTTTATCTATAAAAGGGGATGTGCTCCCTCCAACAAAGGAGAGCGATTTTCTAGAGGTCCACTTCTTCAAGCTCGGGCTCACTAGATCGATAGCTCAGAAACCCCTCAAGCACACGCTTGAACACCTAGCTCATAGCGGAGTTTCGGTCACCCTCGGCCCTTCCGGTTGGACCCGACCGGGCCTCTCGTACACCCCTCATTTCTCCTTCCCGTTTGTAACCCTACTACAGACTTCGAGCACCTGGGCTCAGGAATAAAGTCACCAACCGACCCAGACTGGACGTAGAGCACGTTGCCTGAACCAGTATATATCCTGTGTCATTGAGTGCTAGGCCACCTCTGATCACAATGTACAACAAAACTACAAATATTCACTAGTTTGTCACTTTCTGTACCGACAAAGTGTGACCTTGCAAACAAAGGCATGGAATATGCCATATATTCTTTTGATGTATTGAGAAACATATTTCTAAAGCCATGGAGACTGGAGAGGCTTGGGTGGCATGTGAACAACATTACATGGAACATGGGAGGAGCTGAACGCCTGAACCCCTTAGACATCTAGGAGGGCAGATAGACAAAAGCATTTGTTGGTAGCTTGTATAGCTTTTGGAATAATCATTCTTTAAAATTTGCATATCATGTTTTTGTAAATTTTAAAATTTTTAATACGACCTTTACATACTCTTCCCATGCTAATTGATTGTGTCCATTGGTGGTCTTGATGTAGACTAGAACACCTATTGCAGTGCAACATACACCATCAGCTGCTGCTCTGTGTTTGCTAAGCAGTTGTTGCTTTTTTTGCCAAATCTCCCATCTCCTCTCCTCTCCTTTGTTTTGCCGATGATGAAATTGCCCAAGTCCATACATTATATGGAATATGAGCTGATGATCAAGAACTTGTGAGGAACTTGGCATCATTAGCAGCCGCCCCTACATTACCTTCTCCTCTCTTCTCTGTTATGGTGCCTTGATGCTCCAAGTTCATGATCAAATGATGATTGACATGTTTCTGAGGCCTCTACTACTGCTACTACTCATTTTTTTGATATATTGTTGTTTTATAGGACTACTTTGGTTTATAGACCTTTTTGATTTCTTATACCTTCTCACATACCTAAAGCACACTTTCTTGCATCTATTAGAACAAAGCGCGAAATAATGTCGCGGACACCAGACAGTGCAGCCCAATGCCCAAGCATGATGAGCAGCCAACCTATGAGGAGCAAGCACTAGAGGACCAACTTACTCAGGAGTAGTTCGATAATGAGTTAGAAAAGGATCTAGAAGTGATGTTTACTCAGGAGTAGTGTGACGAGAAGGAAGGGGGAGCAGAAGGAAGAGCAGGAGAGGCTGCTGAAGGTGAAGAGGAAGAGGATGAGGAGGAGGAGGAGGACTCAGAAGAGGGATATGTAAGTCCCGAGGATCCTTTCCCACGTGAAGCAAGAAGGAGGCCAATGGAGGAAGATTTGGACAAGGATTTTGACCCAAACGAGGAGGTAGGGATAAAGCCTTAGCTCGTAAATTTTGCTAAAGCTTTGGATGTGTTACCTCTACTAACAATTTGACATGTCGTATATACAGGTCCCTCCTAAAACTTGAAAAAGACGACGTCGACGTCCACGACATCTTGTCAGACAAGACGGAGTAGAGGAAAGGAGAGCAGAGGCAACAACCACAGAGACGGACATTGAGGCCTTTGCTCCACAACCTCAAGACACAACCACGAACACGACTACCAAGCCAAAGAGGAAATGAGGGGATAGAAAAGCAAATCAATATCTAGATAAGGCATGCTATGTGCTAACGGAGGTCCGGCCAACAGGGGAGATCCTTGAGCCAAAGGAATTTAGAGGATGATTCCGTAATGCTATCGGGGCCCTAGTAAGAGATAAATTGAACCCAGCAATCCCTAACTAGAAAGAGGTACCAGAGAAGAAAAAGGATGAACTATGGGATAAGCAGCTGAAGCTCAATTTTAGATTTCCAGAGGGTAAGCACGAACTGGCAAAAAAATGCTTTCAAAATCATGAGAGAGTCATTCCGACGTTGGAGGTCGGAGCTCAACAAGAAGTATATCCAAAAGGGATTAACTCCCTTCAACGAGTTCAGCAACATAACTCCTAGTCAATGGGAGGAGCTCGTGGCTCAGAAGACTTCACCAGAGACATTGGAGCTCAGTGCCCGTAACACCGAGCTGGAGAAGAGGAACAAACACCACCATCATCTAGGCCCCGATGGCTACTATGCCAAGGAAGAGCAGTTTAGGAAGATGGACGAAGAGGCCATAGCTGCTGGGAATATCGATGTGAAGAATTTGAAGGTACGCTCAAGAAATTAGATATATGCGAGGAGTACAGAATCATCCGGCGGTAATCTTAAGTTTGATAAGCCAGAGACCCAAGAGGCAGTATCAAGGATACTGAAATATGCTGAAGACAAGGAGAAGGGCTCATTCAATCCTTCCAGAGAGAGGGACGAGCTTAGCCTTGGCTTGGGAAACAACGAGCACACAGGCCGCACTAGGGGGCTAGGGAAAAGGACGACTTGGAAGCACGGATTCGAAGAGGACAGGCACATGTGCAAGAAACATGGCATAGACCAGGAGGCTAATCTTGAGCTCCAGGTGAAGGCTCTAATTGCGAAGGCGCTGGAGGAGCAAGGACTGTCTATGGAGCCACGCATATTAATGACGACGCCGGGAGAAATGGCATTAGTTGGCAGCCCTCCTAAAGTTCCTAGTAGCCAAGGTTCCACTGCAGCCACAACCCCCGTCGATCGCATATGGGAACCAACTAGTTGCACCTTGGTGTTTCTCAGCGGCCGGCAGAACATTGTGATGGAGGTGGCAACGGGTGTGGCACATCCTCCCGGTGGCTTACACCACAATAATAAGATACCGCCGGACTACACTAGGGTCGAGGTGCATACCGTGAAGCCCGAGTTCATGCAGTGGAGGATAGACTACACAACAACTGAGAGGTTGGTGTTACTCGGAGACGTAATGGGGTAGTTCATCCTCTGGCACAAATGGGACATTATATTGACTGCTTATTCGCCACCTCCCCTCTCTCAAATTTAGAGCGAGTTGTTAAGGATGGGGAGATATTTTCACCGTCTCGTGACCACCACATTCCTGAGATGCCACATTCTTCGCCGCCTCCTAGCGAGCATGTGCCTGATAAACCACAACCTTCTCCAGCTCATACCGAGCAAGTGCATGATGAGATGCCACAGTCTTCTCAACAAGCATAGCTGATACATGAACAATGAGTGTCTCCTGAAGAAGGTGATGCATAAGAAGATGAGGACGTGCCTGAATGGGAACTTCGAAAGAAGCATCCAATCACTATAAGATCAATTTATGTTTCGATGAAAGATGTCTCGTCGGTGCACAAGTGATATTCCCATGACTAGTTCAAGCCTGAAAATCAAGTTAAAAAAAGTCCCATCATGGGCTTCTGAGGGGGCCATCACTAGCAAACTCCACCAAACAGCAAAGCAGTATCCAAATGTTGATGCCATCAAATGGTAAAAGGATTGTCCAAAAACATATGAAAGAGGCAAGCCCTTCCTACCAAACCAGGACATCCAACGCCTACCACTTGGAATGAGAAGGTTTCATGATTGGTACTTGCGTGTTCTCCTAACGAGCATAGACCTCGTGCAAGCATGCTTCCCCACCTGCACATTTGGAAGTCCAGCCAGGAAAATTATCTTTGACTTCAATGACATGCAGACATGCTTTCACCTCGGAGCAATGAAAATGAATCTAATTCGCACGTGATGCCTGTAAGTCCTTGTCCTCCCGATATGATTTGAATGTAATCTTTAAATTTTGTTGTAACTAATCCACGCCGTGATTTGTAGAATGCAAGTGCACATTGTAAAATAAATGCCAAATGTGAAAACCAGGTATATAGACCCTCAAGCTATAGCACAAATAAATTTTAATTATCCTAGACAGTGGAAACTAGATGACAAAGAGCTAGCTGCTGAAAAGACCCTTCGGAAGAAAGAGGACATACGTATGAAGAAACTAAGACAAGAGTTCCTTAAGGTTTCGGCATACATTGCCCTGGCTTTTAAAAATCTTCAACGGCACTCTACTATATGGCTACCATACAACTTCGAGTAAGTTCAACTCTATACTTAAAGCTTTGCTCGATATATTTTATTCAATGCAAAAGAGCTTATCTAGTTCTATAATTAAATCCATGCAGCAACCACTGGATTTGTATAGGCGTCGATGTCGGGAGGAGCATGGTATGGGTCTTTGATTTAATAGATAGGGACCCAGTGACATACAAAGACCTCATATTGATTCTCAAGACGTATATATATCGACAATCCTCGTTAGCTTATATGTTTGTATATATACATGTAACATTCACTTTTGGATACTAACAAGTTGTATTTGCTAAAATAATTCGAACAGGGCATTTAGGTTATATGTCAATAAACATCACGGAAGGCATGATCCAATAAGGAAAGAAAGGCTGGCTATAAAAACACTATGTGCAGTAAGTGTAACTTACTTCAGTACTCCATTATATGGCTGTCAGAAGCATTACTTAACATTTTCATATGCAAAACACACAGTGCCCTAAAAAGAAGCATGGGAGTGTACATTGTGGATACTATATATGTTCTATGATGAGTAACACCGGTGCCTACAGGAGACATCCCTTAAGGGTAAGTTTGAACCTCTTCACCCGTAGTATAAAAACTTCACACATGGTATGAAATACTAAACCGAAACTTGTTCTCTTGTAGTGGAAAGAAGAGAAAGAAATGAAAAGAGACCCATACAAGGATGACCAACTCTTAGAGCTCATCAACGACCATTGCAACTTCATATTGGACCAGATTGTACACGTCAAAGGCACCTACCATGACCGAGATTCTGACTTAGGTAGAAATCCTTAGTACCAACATCTTCGTGAGATTGAAAGGCTAGCTTTAAGCTGTTGATAACAATACGTATGAAATTTGACATTGGTTTTACCTTATGGGACACCTACATCGAGCGCCATAGCCCCGTTCACCCAGTGCACCGTGTGCTAGAGAGGGGGAGGGAGAAATGGAATGAATTAGACTTGTGAATTATGTCTATTTAATGATGGATTGTATATATTCTTATGAATTGGACTTGTAATTGTAGTTTATATAATATTTTTGTGCTTGTGGTCAAATTTGAATTTTATATATATATATATATATATATATATATATATATATATATATATATATATATATATATATATGTGTGTGTGTGTGTTTTGTCGAATTTAAATTATAAATTTAAAATTTTTTTATGAAAAAATATAATGTATGATGGTTGTAAACTGAACCGCCCACCATCAGGTATTATAGGGGCGGCTGTCTACTGCAGCCCTCCGGAACGCGCCGCTGCCGCCGACCACCGCGAGCTCCCTGACGCCCGCTGAGACGTCGTCCCGGCCCACGACGGCGAGGGTGCTGCCGTTGTAGGCCCCGCCCGTGAGCGCCGCGGTCATGGACACCGCCAGCACGGGCTCCGTGAGCGACGCCAGCGTGTAGGTGCCCTGGGCGCCCCCGACGAGCCACGACGACGACGCGCTGGACCCGTCCGTCAGGGCGTCGTTGATCACCGTGGTGTCGCCGAAGTGGTAGCCGGGCATCGCCGGGTGCGCCGGCCCCGGACCCTTGACAACCTGCACCGCCGTCTGCCCCGGCCCGCCCGTGATGTCGTGCATGTAGAAGTGCAGGTGGATGAGGCGGCTGCGGCCCCCTGCATCATGCGCTGCCGCCGCCGCTGGCCCAGTGGCCATGGCTAGCGCCGCCGCGAGAGAGACGAGAAAGAGGAATCTAGGCGCCGATTCAGCCATGGATCGAAGAGAGGAGAGCAAACCAGTGGAATGACCGATGGTCGAGCTCGGCTTCTTCGAGCGTCGTTACTTATAGGCTATAGCCACACCATACATGAGCGCACGCATGGTTCTATTGAGTCGCCATGGCAGTTGGCAACTTGGCATGGCATTGGTGACCGTCGTGTGCTTGCTTGCCTGCGACTCTGCCATTGCCAGTCAGAGCAAGAACAGCTTGGTGACCGGCCTACTGGTACGTGACAACTACGCTACGCTACACGACTAACATGCGTCCTCGCCGCCGTCTAGACTCTAGAATGTCTCCCGATCAGAAAAGGCTGAGCCAGCTACCGACGCGTTCTGAAAATTGGCAACCTGTACATGGGTTCGCGTCTAAGACATTCATATGGTGATATGGGTCACGGACGTCAAACTTACTCGCGGTGAAGTCACTCAAAATCACAAATAATATAACTACCAGATACAAGTCATTCTCTTCCTCGACCTAGCAACCGTTCTAAAAGCTCTCTACCAGTACCACCCCATCGGCATCCAGACACTCAGAGTGCAAGGCTGTCAGTGAAAAGCAACATAATAACCTCGACATGGATATCGATATGCCAAGTCAGCCTGGGACGTTCGGTTAGACCGAACCGAACCGATCGGTTCCTCGGTTTTACCAAACTTCGGGTTACCAGAAAAGCGTGAACCAATCGGTTAGTTAGAAATCCCAAGACCGAGGAATTCGGTCTCAGGTAGTTCGGTTTCGGTCCCGGTCATGACCGAACTATCCGACCTAGACATATTTACATAGCAAACGGGTGCCTCCTTCACCAAACTAGACAAAATCGGGGCACCAGGATGATCATAGGCCTGCCGTTTTCATTCAGCATCAACCAATCACTGTGACTCTTCCATGACACACTTAGGATATGCTACTACCTATAATCCTATCCTATCCTATATACAAAATGAGGACCATTACATGATACATCAAGAGTAGTTTCTGGACCATAATCGATCAGATCTTCTCAGACTGAGAGCTGATAGTCAGAACAAGCCCGAAGTGGTCGCTGGGTAAGACAGGTAACACCAGCTGACAGATCTCCTGGCGAACTTTCTTCTCCTTGATGTACGTGACACCTGGTATCACTTCCTCCCCGATCATCTCGATGCTCTCGACCTTGAAATCCGACAACTTGCACACGAACCGGTCCAGCCTCTTCTGCAGCTTACGGTTACCAGATAGCATGACGTTAGCTTTCGTGTCGAGGTCCAGCCATTTTCGCCGGGCTTCAACTCATCCCAAGCGTCGATCCACCCATCTGGTAGGGGGAAGGGCCCATCTCCCTTGTCATCCCAGTTTGTATCCCCGCAGAATATTACATTGCGGAAGGCTCCCAGAGTCCTCACAGATTCATTTGCCTGGCCTACTCTTTCCTTGCTGAACATCTGGTCCCAAGTAGGAGGTCCAGGGGATGGGCTCTCAAGGTGGCTTGTAGCCACCACCAACTTGATCACACCTCCAACAGTCACATCAGCTATGCACAGCTCCCGTCCCATTTTTGAGTTATAGAATGGTTTGCGGTCAAACGACTTCACAGGCAACTTGCTCATCTGAATTTGTTTGTAACAAAGTAAATTAGGATATACAGTCCTCAACCAATCGGGAACAACAAAATTGCACAAGAAATGGCATTTCTGGATGCGCAAAGTTCAGGCACCAAAAGACTAAACATAAAAAAAATCATGAGGCAAACAATCCAAAGTAAAAATGCCTCAACATGTAAAACACAGCATATGCAGATGTTGCTGTTAATACTATGCAGAGAAGCAGGAAGCCCATCAGTGTATGGGCAGGCATGAGTATCCTTTGTTGCGTGCCTGAAAAGTAGTAAGCCGTATAGTAGCACCAGCTTATCCATACGGAGTACAGATGGACATGAGCGCATAAAACAGTAACAGGATAGCTAAGCTTTCTAACATCCTGAAGGGATAGAGTTTACCTCACATTTTATTAAAACCTAGGTACATCTAATATTCTGAAATCTGAATTATGGAACAGGAATTTAGCTCAGATAAAGAAACAGGCTGAGGTAGTGACTAAGCCTTCGAAATGGCAACTAAATCCAGTATTAAACCATGAAATGAATTCTATGCATCAAGAAAACATAAGTACATAACCCTAGCCCCATGTTATAAAAAACTAAAAAAGAGAAGTCATATGGAACAGTATTTTAAACCTTGACAGGAAACTTAGATAAACTTATAGACTCTAAGCAATTCTAATAGAGTATTACATGCCTAAAGTGGTTAATGGTTTATACCTGCATAAAGTAGTATGGTATTTCCATGACCATCTCAGTTTGAGAAATGTTTTATACCTGCATGCTGTAATATGGTCTTTGCATGGCCATCTCATGCGGCAAGGAGCATTTGTAAGCTTGCCACCAATCCGATTTTTCGAAAAGCAGATAAATGTTTGGAGTGACCTCCTGCAGTTCCACAAATGAATATCCGAAACCCAAGTAGAAGAGGAAAATAAGTAATGCATAGTTTGAATAAAGGACCTGGAAGCATATAAGATCTGGGCTGTGATGCTGAATAAGATCTCCAATAGCATTCATCCTTCTAATCAGTTCCAATTCCTCTCGGAACCATACATTGTATGTCATTATTTTGACAGTCTTCTTATCCGAATGATGATTTGAATTTCCTATTGAAGTCATTTAGCCATCAGTGTGACGATAGCATACAATTAGGATAGTATATTTGGACATATACAGAATATGAACCCAGCTTATAGCATGCATGAGTTTGATTGCAACTTTTAATTTTTATCGAAAAACACATGATAAACCTCTTTATAATATCAGTTCATGCAATGATGCAAAGAACAAAATGGTGCGATCACGTAAAAGTTTCATAAAATAAATAATGTAGCCATGATAGAAAACCATATTAGCGTCAAGCTGAAATATAGCCATGAACAATAATGGAAAAACAATATCTAATTTTCAATCAATAGAATAGTGCATCAAGATTTCTCATCAGCGAACATCTGTACCATTATCACCATCAGTTAGTGGATAAGCAATGATAAAATTAATGCCTTATAAAGGACCAATTGAAGATAGATAAGCTCTGGATTGCAACTTCTAAAAGAAAACAGATATAAGCTATGATGTTGCAAGTGCCAGGCCAAATACTATGTAAAATATAGGTGAGCTAAATCCATAAATGCACGATGCGACAATAATAGAGGCACACTTTTGCTGGTAACTAGCTTCCAGAGATGAGGATGATGACATGTGTAAGACTGTTATGGGTTTACAGAAAAGGTAGAACGTGGTAAAAAAATACATATGGTCAAAAATATGTAAACAACTTGTAACTGAATAACTGATTAAAATGTAGCGTATCAAGACAAGAAAGAATCATATATTTGTATCCAACTATCAAAAAGTGGAGCCTAAAAGGAAGAGAAAAATCAGCAGTTCACATGAAACAGGTTATCAAAGTAAAAAATAGCCAAAAGGTGACCAAGCTAATACCAAAACAAGACAGATAGCACTCAGACTCAAATGAAGTTGATCCCTGATACACCCATATCCATGGTGGCAAAAAGCCAAAAACATACCTCAATTTGAGGTCTTGGCCACACCAGATGCGAAATAACTACTAATTAGCAGTTGTTAACATGTGACTAACATTTCTGCCCGTCCCTACTTTCTCCGATTTCATATTATAGTGACTAGTTTGTTACATTTATTGGCCAAATCTTACTGAGGGGATTTAGGATTCAGGAACAATAATAAGCAAATCTATGTTTCAAAATTACCCTCAGAAACCAACGAATATCTATGGCTTCCAAAAATCTAACCTTGGTAAAGAAACAAAAGAACCTGACTACCACAGATTATGCGATATTGAACCATGTAATAAAATAAGGATTAGTACTATAATGCCACGAGGAAGCAATTCTTGGCGCATCCACCACCAACGTTAACGGAAAAATCGAATATTTAATCCGCGAAAAAAAAAGAATGGGAAACCCCTAAAAAAACCTTTCTTGGCGGCGGGCGCCTTCTCCTCTTCCTCCGCCGCGCCGCCGCCCCGCTCGTCAACGGCGCGCGCCTGAACGGCCTCCGGCGACACCGCGGGTTCCCGCTTCGCCGCGCGCCGCTGTAGCGGGAGGAACACGGCGCCGGCGAACGCGCCGAAATCCAGCGGGTCGTCGGCGCAGTCCCACGACAATAAACGGAGGTTGGTAGCGGAGGACATGGCTCGGCAGGGCGACGTGGCGACTCTTCTTGGGAGGGGGAAGGGGAGGGGGAGGGGGAGGGGGGATGGTTTGAGGGCGCAGAAGGTGCGGAGAAGCGAGAAAGGCATCCGGATGTTCCAATTGGGAGCCGTTTGGTCCGGTCGAGTCCCGCAGGATTTTAGGGGATCTCTGGTTCTGTACTTCTGTCCTTCGGCTCTCCGCGAAAAGAAAAAAAAAATCAGCCCAATGTAATGCGTCGTGAGAACCTATTGATATTATTATTATATTTCCTTCGTTCCATAAAAAAGTCATTCCCGCTTTCTAGCAAACATTGAATATATTTTCATAGTAAAGAGATACAAATATTGTTTATATTTTCTACAAATATATTCAATCTTTAAAAAATTGATCAGCACAAATCACATAGTGACTCTTTTTATAGGACAGAGAAAGTACATCTCTATCTATACACAGGTAGTATTCAGAAGTATTCAATAAAGTCAAAAGGAACATTTAGAAATAAATGTTATGGTATAAGTCTAGGGGGACATAGTCGCATGTACTTGGAAACAAATGCATCAATAGATAGACCAACAAAAAATTCTGAAGTAATAGCCTAATTTCAATTTTATCAAACATCAACGAGGAAACACATGCACACTTCTTTACGGTGCAATTTCATCATTAAGAAATCCATTTCAACACATGCCTTAGTGAAATTTTACATCATATAAAAGCGATAGTATACCTAGCATTGTGTTCATCTCTAGCATCCAACCAACCATTCATCTATGGCACACATAAGAACATGAGGGTGAAGGGAGGAGGTGTGCATGAGTCCAATGGTAGGTACAAGGTCGAAGAGGTGGAGACCAGTGATGGCTGGCGTGGACATGTAGATGGAAGAGTTCACTAGAGTGGAGGAGGAGCCTAGCCTCGTGGAGGTCAAGGAGAAGGAGGAGGCAGGCATTGAAGCATACAAAGTGGATGAAGGGGAGGGGGAGCCTCGCTTCAAGAGACATGATGGAGGATTGTTGTGTGTTCTCAAGGTGAGAGGAGGGGTGGCAAGTCGCCCACAGCAGGGTAGCGTAGGTTAGCTACATCGTGGTGTGGAGGAGATCTAGCACGACGACATGGGACTAAGGTCGACAGTAGATTATAGCTAGGAGGTTTTTGAAATGATGATGCCGTAATAATATATGGACATTTCAAAAGTTAGAACAAAAAAATACTAAAACGAGTTACTATAATAACTTGCACCAATAAGACTTGTCACTTAGGAGTGAGTAATATGTAGCAAACTATTACTATTATTATAAGTGATGGAGCATGATCCCTGTCGACAAAAGATGCTCGGCAGTCCTCCGAGGGGTATCCCACGAAGGTAGATTGATCGATGGAGGTGCGCGTGATAGGAACCGGATGGTGACACAAGGCGCAGAGACAATGATTTAGACATGTTCAGGCCGTCTGATCGACGTAATACCCTACGTCCTGTGTCTTTGGTGTATTGTATTGAATATGAGATCTATGGAGATATATGTATCTATCGTCTAGGGGACCCCTGCCTCTCCTTATACACTCTGGAGGGGTAGAGTTATAAGGAAAATATCCTATTTGATACTATACAATATCTTACGGTGCACGCCGACCAGTGTCGTGCACGCCTTGATCTTGTGGGCTGGGCCATCTCAGATGGTGCGGCCCATGTCTTGTCTTGTGGATACCGGGGGCCATACCCCCACAGCTAGTCCCCGAGCCTAACAGTAGGTGACGTAGTCACGTGGTGCCAGAGTCAGAAAGTAGAAGAAAGGCAGAAGACCGGCCGAGCAGGCAACCAGTCCATGGGCGGAGCCCCGAATCGAAAAGCACACATTCACCGCAAAGGTGAAGTGTGCCCACTTAGTCCCCGAGCCTGCTGGAAGATGAAGAATGAATCTTGTAGCAGGGTCAAAGAAAAAGAAGTCTGAAAGCTTGTCGACGTCGTCTGACATGCGCGTATCAAGACCCCAGACGTGCTGCCCAAGATCAGCACCCTGATCCGAACAGCATGGAGCAGCTTGATAGCACACCGATTAGACGTAGCAAGATCCGACCATCAAGGGAGTCCTCGGCGTAGCTGGCGATGTCCTAGCACCGAGGAGTCCCCGGCGTAGCTGGCGATGTCCGAGCACCGAGGAGTCTCCGACGTAGCTGGCGATGTCCGGGCATCGAGGAGTCTCCGGTGTAGCTAGCGAAGTCCGAGCACCGAGGAGTCCTCGGCGTAACTGGCGATATCCGAGCACCGCCGAGGAGTCTCCGCCGTAGTTGGCGATGTTCGAACACCAAGAAGTCCCCGACGTAGTTGGCGATGTCTGAGCACCGAGGAGTCCCCAACGTTGCTTGCGATGTCCGCAAGGTGAAGTGGGGTGAAGTGTGCCCACTTGGTCCCCGAGCACGAAGAATCTGAGCGCCGAGGAGTAACCGACGTAGCTGGCGATGAAGCACGAGCGACGAACAGTCTGGTCAACTGATCGGCGGCGAAGTGAGCATTGAGTAGAAGCGATCGACGAACAGTCCAATCAACTAGTCGGTGACAAAGTCCATGAATCTAGCGGTCCGACCAGTTGATCGGTGGAGAAGTCCGAGCACCAAGTGGTCCGATCACCTAGACGATGATCCTGCAATACAAATATGTAGAACGGGTAGTACATGATGTAAAAATATATGAAGCCCGAAGAAAAATCAGTAATGACGATGAAATAGCGTATGCAGCTCGGCGATCAGTTTGTGTGAAGATGTATTTATATTTAATATAAACCGCCCGACCAGTTAGTGTGTAGCCGAGTCTCCAGCCATAGCTAGCCCGTTAACCATAACGTGGAGCACAGAGCCCGTGTGCGTGTAAGAAGACCAAAGCCTCGCTAAGGAGCCGTTGTCGACCACCCATAACGTAGAGGGCAGACGCTCGTGCACGTGTAGGGAGGAGCCGGAGACAGGGCCATCTCTGGGGACATCCGAGCATCAACATGACTGTTCGGGGGTTCGAAAAATCGTTTGAAGAGCAAACATGGAAAAAATAGCTCGGAGAAACGTTATGGCGATATACGAAGAATGAAGAATATTAAAGCGTGACTTAGCTTTAGACAGAACGTCTGGTCGAAGGCGTATGGCGTTATCTGGTCGGCGTTGACGGTGAGCACCCGGCGGGCGTTTGAAAGGGTCGAGATGGCGGACTAGAGGGGGGTGAATAGTCTTTTCTAAAATTAATCGCGTCGGCTAACCGATATAAATGCAGAATTAAAACAATCGGTCTAGCCAAGACTACACCCCTCTATATATGTTCACTAGCACCTTGCAAAGATACTAATAAAGCAACTAAGGTGTCGGGCTAGCTAGAGCTCTCCTAAACAATTCTAGGAGCAAGGTCACACAAACCTATGCCACTAGTACTTTAAGTAACAAGAGAGCTCCTACACATGCTAGTAAGCAAAAGCACAAAGCTAACTAAGCTCACTAGCAATGCTCAATAACAAGGCAACCAATGCCTAATTAGAGAGCGCAAATACTTAGCTACACAAACTAAGCAATGTGACTAACAAGGTTACTAAAACCAAATTAGCCACGCAAGGGAGCTACTTCTATGCTACACAAGCAAGAAGGTAATTAGCTAGCTACACAAGCTATCTAATTACAAGAGCAACTACACAAGCTTAAGATATATATATAAGTAATTGCAAGCTTGTGTAATGGGGATGCAAACCAACGGGAAGAACAAGGTTGACACAATGATTTTTCTCCCGAGGTTCACGTGTTTGCCAACACGCTAGTCCCGTTGTGTCGACCCGCTCACTTGGTGGTTCGGTTGGCTAATTAGCATCACCCGCTAAGCCCGCACGTCGGGCACCGCAAGAACCTACCCCTTGAGTGAGGGTAGCTCAATGACACGCTTTACTAAAGTTGCTCTTCACGACTCATGGGCGCAGCACAAGTACCCTCACAAGCACTTCTCGGAGCGCCGCACAAGCTTCTTGCGGGCTTCGACGGAGACCACCACCAAGCCATCTAGGAGGTGGCAACCTCCAAGAGTAACAAGCACCACCGGCTTGCAACACGACCACCTAGTACCACTCAATGCAACCTCACGATGCAATTGCACTAGAATCGCTCACTCACACAATCGAATGATCACTATCAAGTATATGTGTGATGAGGGCTCCCAAGCACTCACAAGCATGGACACTAAGTCCCTTGAGGTGCTCAAGACCACCATGGCCGAGGACCACTTCATTTATAGCCCCAAGGGCTAAACTAGCTGCTACCTTCATCTGGGCAGCGGTCGGGCCGACCGGACGCTCGGTCGTGTTGACCGGACGCTGGACCTCGGCGTCCGTCGCCCGCATCGCAGACCACCACGTGTGTCTCGATTCCAACGGTCACTTAACTTGACCGGACGCAGCAGTTTTTCAACCGACCGGACGCTGAACCCTCAGCCGTCCGGTCGTTTTCAAGATAGTACCGACCTCGACCGGACGCGTCCGGTCACATTTTGATCGGACGCAGCCAGCGTCCCGTCCACCTCCAGCTTCTGCATCATCAGACGTTACCTGACCGGACGCAGCCAAATGTCTCGGCGGTGCATTCACAGATCAGCGTCGGTCGGTTGACCGACGCCAAGATCTTCGCGACTAACTCGTTTTCACTTCTAACTTCATCACCCTTGCTCCAATGTGCTAACCACAAGAACTTGCATCCGGCGCAATAGAAAATAGGCATTCTATTTTTCCGAAAGCGCCGAATCCCGCCTCGCAAACTCAGCGGGAGGGAGAGAGGGACCCAAACCCATCTCACCCCTGCAAACACCACCTCCTTTATAAATGTGCCAACACCACCATGTGTATGTGTGTTAGCATTTTCACAATCATTTCCCAAATGATGTTAGCCACTCAACTTGCCACGCCACTCGATCCTAGCGAAAATGCAAAGTTAGATCACTCGAGTGGCACTAGATGACCGATATGCAAACAAGTTTGCCCCTCTTGATAGTACGGCCATCTATCCTAAACCCGGTCATAAACTTCTCTACACACCTATGACCGGTGGAATGAAATGCCCTAGGTTATACCTTTACCTTGCGCATTCCATTCCA